CTGAGCAAAGACCAAGTTCTGACTCTCCATGCTTACTCTTCCTCAAGTAAACTCTTAACCAGGTGTGTCAGCATTGATTTGCTCACCTGATATTCTATGACACTCAGTGTTGTTGTTCTTGGCCTGCCTTCTGGTACTCAGGTGGAAGGAAGGGTGTCCAGGAAACTCACAACTCAGAGGCCTGGGAAGGTATCCCAGCTCTGAGGTGAGACAGTGTCCCAAGGGTATCCTGAGGCACGGGAGCCCAGGAACTCACAGCTCTCGGGTTGGAGGGTGTCCTGATGGTGTACTGAAGCACAGGAGCCAAGAAACCTCTCACAGCTCTGAGAGGATTCCTCCTTTACAGAGATGTTGCAGCTCCTGGGGGAGGGTTATCCCAATCCATGATGAGCTGAGGATGTTAGGAGCCTTAGCCCCACTCTTTTCCAGATGCTGTAGCTCCCATGAGTGGTTTGGGGCTTCCCCAACCCCTGATGAACTGAGGATCTTAGGAGCCTGAACTCTGCTCCTTCTTCAGCCATTGCAGCTTGCAGGGGAGGGTTACCACAACCCCAGATGAGCTGAAGAGCTTTGGAACCTGAGCTCTATTCCTTTTTTGCTTCTTCTTTCTTCTTTTCTTCATTGCTTCTTCCGATGAGAAAGTCCCACTAAGCAGTCAATCTCTTAAAAGACATTTATTGATTTATTGGAGGGAAGAGTCCAGGAAAGGAGAAATGAATCCAGGAGTGGCTGCCTCTTCTCCTGGGAAAAGGCAGCAGGGAACTGGGTAAGATACAACCTTTATATAGGATTTCTTAGGGAGCAGAGCTTTCTAGGGCAGGGATTTCCAGAGTGAGGTTTGCTCCTGAGCTTGGGGAATTTAGGGACTGCTGGGCTTCCCTGTTCAGGGAATTGGTGAGTTTTAGTTGGAAGCTCAGGAATTGGGCAATTCTCCTGCTCAGGGATTGGTGGGGTTTTGTCCAGACATTTCATCTCAAATTAGCCTAATCTGAGATGAGTCCTACTAAGAGGCTGGAGATGACAGTTACAGAGGTCTGGGAGAGGCGCTGGGCTGCTGGAGCTTCCTTAGGCAGGAATCTGGCCACTTCTCTGCCTTGAGGGGTTATGAAGTATACAGAGTCCAACATTTACAGAATTCACTGTGAAGGTGGTAGGCTGAATCAGGAAAGGTCATCATCACCATCATCATCATCATCATCATCATGAACAGCTCCCATGGTGGTGACATAGGCATTCATTCAGAGACAGGAGTAGACTGAGGCAGGATAAGTCACCATGGACAGTTCCCACTAAGGCACAGGCTGGAGCTGCCATATTGTTTCTGTCTTCACAGCCTCAGGGCAGGAAGGAGGGCCTGGCAACATGCTACTTGAAGTTTTAGTGGCCTGCCGCTCAAGGCTCGACATAGCTCTTGGGGAAGAGGGTATCGGCACAGCTGGTGGCAGGTAGCAGTGGGATACCACAGCTTGGGGAGACAGCAGGCTACTAAGTCTGGGGGCCAGTGGGACAGCTTGGGGCAGCCTGCCTTGGATAAGATTGGGCCTCTATCTCTGCCTTGACCTTTCCTTCTGCAGCAGCAGGCAACTTTGATCTGTTTTCATCCTATACTCAGGATGGTAGATACCAGAAATTGAAGTTTGATATCCACTTCTGTCTTCTCAGGCACTGTAAACTGAGTGTGTGTGTGTGTGTGTGTGTGTGTGTGTGTGTCTGTCTAGTTCCCTCACAGCTCATCTATAATACAATAAAACAAAGTGTTTGATTACAAAATCTACTCCTAATAAGGGTATTTATTTAGAGTTGATTAAACAAAATACATTTTTAAATAAAAGGAAGAAGCAGAAATAATATCTCAAATATACAGTCTATATTTTGTTTCTATAACTTTTATTAGAATTTTGAGTTATAGAAAACAAATTTGTATTTAAAAGCTACTTGTTTAATGAAATAATTAATAACGTCGATATAGAAGTATTCCAGCCAATCAAAAGTAGGTTGACTATAAAGTATACACTTTCCCTTTGTCTTTTGAAATGAAAGTATTTATAAAACAAATAAAAAGCAAATAATCTCATGCATGTGAAAGCTAGATCCAGTTATAGAAATTAAATTCAGTTGAAAAGGACTTTTAAGGGCAATAACATAGTTATTAACTCCATTGTTTGTAATAATTCTACAAATGTGCAATGAAAACTTTTAATAACAACAATGGGAAAAGATTACAGATATTATTAAGTTGTGTGGATAGAAATGGGAAGAGAAAGGCCTCTGTCTCAGTCTCGGGCTTTGAGGAATTTTTGAGGTAAAACAAAAATACAAATGCTTCATCAAAGTCCTAATCTGAAATTAGATGACAAACAATATTTCAGAATAGAGCATCAGAAATGAAACTATGCAGAGGAAGAGGGATATATTGCTCAGACAATTTAAAAAACAGGAGCAGATGGCAAGTGTAGGGAGCCACAGTCCACACTGAAAGGCAAGCAGACCACAGCACACAGGCAGAGATGGAAATCAGCAAGGGGCTCAAGGCCTCCAGCTGTGAAAGGTAAAAAGCAGAAGTAAAGATGTCCCACCTAAAACATGATTCATCATCTCTCAAGGGAGGGGTGGCGGCAAACATCTGGATATGTCTAAAACATCACAGACAAAATTTGGTCTCTTTGCAGTTTACCCTCTGACTTTGTTAGCGTGTCAGCTACTTTAGATAGTTTCAGTAATGATCACTAAATGGCTGTGGAGGTTCCGGTCTCATTTCCATACAACATCCAAAAGCACGAGAGGAAATGTATTTTCTCGTCACCCTCTTTCTAAGAGAAGTTCTTCCACATTGCCTAGGATTGAATGGCATGTACCATTGTTTTTAAAACGTGGGATTAACACGGTTGGATTGAATTACTCAAGATTCATCGTAATCGGAAACATCACCTCTCCTGAAGCACAAACCCTTGAAATAGCTAAACTTGCTTTGAATTCTGATTCCCAGGATGAAGATGCTTTAAGTCAAACATGTGACTGGGTCCCTGTGTGTCTGTGTGTGTATATGTATGTGTATACATGTATATGTTGATGTGTGTGTATATGAATGTATTGTATATGTGTGTATGTTTCATATATGTACATCTATACGCATGTATGTGTATGTGTGTACAAGCGTATTTACTAAAACCTTGTTTCTCTAGCTACGGCATCACCGAAATAAAATAACCATATACTAACACATTAATATGTTTCTCAGCATAAACTGCAATATTAGTAAAACTCTCCCCATCATAACTTAATAGATACTTGGACTAGGTCATGCAGTGGAGAATTACGAAAGCACCTATGCTGAGCTGAGGGGAGGAAACCTCTTTCATTACTACCTTCTTCCTCCTGTTCTTGCTCCTAATCATCCTCATCCTCTTTCACCTCTTCCTTTTGGAACATTCTATATTTGATGCAAGCTGAATAACACTTCCCTTTCTTACATGTGACCTTTCCTGTGGAAACTATTTATATTCAGCCATAACAGTGCAAGGATAGGACAAACAAATGACCTCACTCAAGCTCTGCTTGGTGACTCTGTCGGGTGAGTAGGTGGGGGTTATTCATAGAAGCATGACTAACTGAAGGTGGCACATCTCTGAAAAGTCCTCCCAAAGAGGCATGGATGAGGGTTCAAGAAAGCCACAAAGCCAGAGCTGAGCTCCCCATCTGTAGGAGCCACACCATGGCTGAGCCTTCTTTCCTACTAAATGCTTACACTTAGGTCTACTCGGGGCAGGCTTGTTAGTTTTGAAATGTCTTGTGGGTATCCTGAGCCCTGGGAGGCTTGCTTTCTCTTCAGACTATGGCGTACTAATCTGTATGAAAGAAACTGCTCGGCATGGTCATCAAACAGACCCCTGAGAATCAGTCAGAGGTGGAAACAGAGGAAGCTGGTGCCGTTTCTGTGGCAATAGTCGATCCTTTTCCACAGTGACAAGAAAATAAGAGCCAGACTTCAGGCTAAGATCCTGGCCTGTGACGTTCTCCTCTCCTGGGACCTAAATGCACTTACCTCTGAGGTCTGAGTAACAAAGCAGTGATTCTGAAAATTCCTCAGAATTTGTCCTTCTGTGTTTCTGAGAGAAGCTCAGTGCACATGCAAAAGCCACAAAGTCTAAATGTATTAACCCACATCCCGAATTGGTTTATTTCAACTGCTTTATAATTGCATTTTGTGTATTCCTTATGTGTGTGTGAGAGAGTCAGAGGACAACAAAAGCTACTCTGTCCTCTCTTTTCAGCATGTGGGTTCCAGGGATCAAAGCCAGGTCCTGAGGCTTGGCTTGGCTCAGGAACCTTTACCCCGAGTCATCTCCTTGATCTTTTTCTTTGAATCTTACATTGTTTCTTTCTCTCTCTCTCTCTCTCTTTCTGTGTGTGTGTGGGGGGCATGTGTCATGGTATATGTGTGAAAGAGAGTGGGTGACTTAAGCAAATCAGTTCTCTTCTTCCGTCATGTGAGTCATGAGAGTTCAGGTGACCCATCTCTGGTTCCCAGACATAGCTACTAGCATTTACCCAACAAGGCCTCTCCCTGGATTCCGTATTAGTTTGTGATAATACATCCTTTCTTTAACGTTAAAAAAAAAAAGTTACTTAGAATACTGGTGTTGAAAGGTGAAATTCCGTAGAAATTATAAATCAGAAATGTTTGAACTCTGTTGTGCAAAACCAAATGGTAACGATTATGTAATAATAAGGTAAGTTCTGTGTCATGCGTAGACTTGGTTAGGAAGCAGTCTATGGGTGAACATAATTAATAATACATGAAAAAAAAAACATCCATGAAAAGTCATCCTTTCCAGAGGACTCCAAGGAACCTCACGGAGAACAGTGAATCACTTTGATAGGTAAGAGTGTCCGGTCTGAAGTTAGCTCTCACGCTCTGTTCTCAGACTAACCACAGCGTGATCGAGCTCCGGGGTTCTCACCCACAACGGGTCTGAAGTTTGTGTGTTTGACATTTTCAGACATCCAACGACACCTTTGAAATCCCGCTCATGTTGACCGGAAACGTGGTGCTGAGAAAACGACTCAACTACGAAGACAAGACTCGCTACTACGTCATTGTCCAGGCTAACGTGAGTGCTGGCCTGCCCTTGCTCTAGCTCTTATCCAGCAAGCTGTGCCTCTTCACAGGTGTGAGCGTGACTATGCCCTGGAGCTTCCTTGCCCTTGGTGGACACAGTCTATAGATGGATGGAGGAAAAGGTCTGGGGGTTACTTCTAGCCGCTCTGTTCTTCGCCATCTAAGTCACCCTCCAGGGTACTAAGCACACTTCAAAGACTGATCTCTGCTCATGCTGAGATAATCCTTCAAGTACTATCCACAAAATAGCTACGTTGATGTCACCTTGAAGCATGTTAAATGATCTTTTTTTTTTTTTTTTTTTTTTTTTTTCTGGACTCTCCCTCAGAATTTTATACTTAAAATCTGACAGTGGGAAGGATGGCTCAATGGTCAGGAGAGCCTGGGTATCAACAGCTGTGTCAGGCAGCAAACATCTTTATTTCGTGGATATACAAAGTCAGTTCTGCGACTTCACCGGATTCTGTTTCCCCTTTGTCTGTGCAGTGTGCGTCAATTTAAACCCCACTGGTTTTGAGTCCCCATTAGTTAAAACTAGTGGTTTTTAAACCCCACTAGTTTCTAAGGTATTTTGAGGTTAAAAATAGGCCTAAGGGTCAACGGTTGAAGAAAGGTATATTTGTAAATTGTTTTAAGACTAAAGAAAAAAAGATATGCAGACACATGAAACGCCTATGCCATAGTAAATAAAAAGGGTTGCTGGGCTATAGAATGTTTTTTATTATTATCCCTAAGATTATCACGGTGGTATTATCTAACCCAATATCAAAAGTAATAAAATATAGACGCCTGTTAGATTTTATAATTCCCTTATTAACTTTGGGCCTGCCAGATATTCCTACCTATGCTGTCTGAATATCCTCACCATCCATCTCCCAGGCCCCATCCAAAGCCACCCGTCTTACTCCTTCCTGTTTGGACTACCTTACATCCATAATCCCATAGGTACTTGCTTGTAGTCTTCCTTTGGGCCTTTTCACGCCATGATTGGAGTTCTTTTCCCCAGCCCACGTGATTCCTTCTCCATGCTAACCCATCCTGGAGTCCTTCTTCCTCCTCTCTTCCCATCCGTCTCTGTCTCCTGATTTACTGTCCTCCAGGGCACCTTAGCCATGCCTACCCCATTCTGCCCTACCTGTGGTGTGGAAACAGAGATGCTGGGACATCCCGTGGATGGGCCAACTGAGCCAACCAGCTCACCTGCTTCCCCACTCCATATCTCATCCAAACGTCCACTTCGGGTCTCATGAAACTCTTCTAACAATTCAGTGGTCTCCCGTTTCTGGGGACCCACTTCTGCTAACAGGGACTCTGTTGTCTTTCTCTTAAGCTCTAACAACATATAATTATTTTTAATTAATTAATTAATTCACTTTACATCTCGATCTCAGCCCCCTCCCTCCTCTCCTCGGTGTCCCACCCTCCCTCCACCTTCCTCCATACCAATATCCCTATTTCTCAGAAAAGGAGAGGCATCTCTCCTTACTCACCCACCCCACGTCATCACGTGACACCAGGTCTGAGCTCTTCCTCTTCCCCTGAGCCCTGCCCAGTGGGAGATAAAGGGAAATGAGCCAACAGCAGGAAACAGCAACAGAGCTCATGTCTTGAGTCTGCCCTGGCTCCCCTTCTTAGGAAACCCACATAAGCCCTGAGCTGCCCAGCTGCTACTTCTGTGTAGGGAGCTAGGCCCAGTCTCTGCATGGTCCTTGGTTGGTATGTCAGCCTGCACAAGCCCTCCTGGGCCCTGGTTAGTTGGCTCTGTTGGCTTTCTTGTGGAGCTCCTGGCACCTCTAGATCCTTCTTCCCACTATTTCACAAGATTCCCTAGGCTAGACCCAGTCTGTGGATGCGAGTCTCAGCATCTGTTTCAATCGACTGCTGGATGGACCTCTCAGAGGACAGCTATGCTAGACTCCTATCTTGTTCCCTCTCTTCAGCCACTTCCACAGTCTATCCTATTTCCCCTTCTGGGTGAGATTTAAGCATCCTCCCAAGGGTCCTCAGTGTCATTTATCTTTCTTGGGTCTGTGGATTGCAGAATGTCTATCATGCACTTTTTGGCTAAAAAACACATATAAGTAAGAATATATCATGCATGGCTTTCTGGGTCTGGGTTACCTCACTCAGGATGATCTTTTTTAGTTCCTATAAATTTCATGATTTGTTTATTTTTGAAAGCTTAGTAGCATTCCATTCTGTAAATGTACCACATTTTTTTATTCATTCTGCATTTGAGAGACATATAGGTTGTTTCCATATTCTGGCTATTATCAATAAAGCTGCTATGAACATAGTTGAGCATATATCCTTATGGTATGGTAGAGCATCTTTTGGGTATATGCCCAGGAATAGTATAGCTGGGTCTTGATCTAAAGCTATTCCAAATTTTCTGTGAAAGTTTGTGTTTTCACCAGTAGTTGAGGAGTGTTCCCCTTTCTTCACATCCTCACCAGTATATGCTGTCATTTGAGTTTTTTATCTTAGCCATTCTGATAGGTGTAAGATGGAGTTTCAAAGTTGTTTTGATTTGTATTTCCCTGATGACTAAGAATGTTGAACATCTCTTAAGTGCTTCTAGGCCATCCGAGACATCTCTGTTGAGAATTCTCTGCTTAGCTATGCACCCCATTTTAAATTTGATTATTTGGGGGTTTTTTTGGTGTGTAATTTTTTGATATTAGCCCTTTGTCGGATGTAAGGTTGGTGAAGACCTTTTCTCGGTTTGTAGGCTGCCATTTTGCTCTACTGATAGTGTCCTTTGCCTTACAGGAGGTTAGCAAATGCATACTGTTAGTAAGAATATGTGATATGTGAAATAACAATACAAGTTCAGGAAATATGTATTAACTTATGTTAGCCTTCTTGGCTTAAATAGAAAAAGCCATGGAATGGACATCTATGCTACAAAAATTTATTTATTTTTTTTATCAGTAGTTTGGAATCTAAATTGGCTAGGGTTCATTTCAAAGGTGGGCATTTCTTCTCCAATTATAAGTGACTGTTCTTGTTGTGCATCACATGGCCTTCCCTTTGTCTTTACATGGACTGGAGCTCTCTCTTTCCTACTTATGTGAACTTCCTGTTCCTCCAGTGTCAGTATCCATCTTGTCACAGCAGTTACTCCTGATTGTCCACCTCCACAGCTTCACCGTGCTGACACTGTCTCATGCAAATCTGGGTGACACACGGTTCAGTACACAGAGTAGTCATTAAACTCAGAGAACGTTTTAAAGTGCAGTTTCTGTCAGTAGTAATTACGGTTTTCCGGGTTAATGAAATATCCCATTTTAAAATAAAATGTGAAAACATCTATTTGAGAAAGCAAAGAGAAGAAGCCAAGAGTGTAAATCAGGACATGTTACGAAAGAACCTTTCTTTCTAGCTACTGTGTTGCATCCTCTCCTAACCCCGAGTAAAACAAACTGACTGAGATCAGACAAAACATATGCAGAGAATTGTCTTGTTTGCATCAGTCACAGTTAACAGTGTTGTTTTCCCCTGTTAACCCCGCCATGCTGCCATCTGGTCGGGTATTGATGCATGAACGGGACATGCTCAAGTGGCTTTCTAGGATAGATCCCCCCCACAAAAAAAAAATTCCTTTCACTGGTGGATTCCTCAGAAGGCACTGATTAATCCAATGTTTCCTCCTTGTGTGTCCCTGACAAACCTTCTTTATAAGCTGCACATTTCATTAGAAAATCCCCACTCCTTATATGAGAAGGATACCTTACAAATACACTACCTTTACTATGCAATGAAAGTTACTATCTTGTTAATGAACACAATCTTCATGTACTGTGATGAAAGCATGACTTGACCTATGCAGCTTTCCTTTCCAAATCTCATAACCTAAATTTAAAGATGTGCAATATATATGACCTTAGTATTGAAAACCTCCAAGATCAACAAAAACCAAAGAACTTGTCAAGAAACATTATTACTAAACGCAGAGTGTCTTGGTGGGTATATTGGAACAAAAAAGACATTAAGTAGCCACTAGGAAAAAAAATGAATAAAACTTGGATTCTAGTCAATAGCAATGAATTGCCAAAACATGATTAAATAGGTATGAGTTGCTCTATTGGAGGATATTGTCATGCAAAAAATTTAAGAAAGTCCACATCAGAAGGACTGAAGTAGTTGTCATACATGTGGAAGTGAGGGAGGAAGCTAGGAAATGCATACTTAATAATGGTCCTTTACAAAGAAAAAAATAAACTTTTTTAATGCTTATGACAATAAGAAATTTTAGAATATGGAACAAGTCTTTTAGAAGGTTCTATTCCTATCCTCCCAGTACTAATGAGTGGAAAACTCAAATCCCTTAACCATAATATCACAAAGGAAAGGCTTCTGGGCCCTTGAAAGGGGACAGGCTTGGACTAGTGAGCTGTAGAAAAGACTTACAGCCTACAGGAGCAGAGAAGGGATTGCAGTTGCAAGGCTCCTGGAGTGTTGGCCAGAAGCCTAGAGGCCAAGACCTGTGCTCCTGCAGTCCAGGCTCACTGAGCAAAAACCCAAGACCACCCACAGTGTTTCCTTGCAGCAAAAATTTTATCCTAATGTAACATCTTAGTAAAACAAAGATGCTGATTTGGAATATATAGGAACTCTGGCCTATGTCCTCCACTGTACAATACATAGCTTTTGTTCCAAGGATCAGGAGATAATTTATTCTGAGTCAAATATGAGGGACTGACTTGAAAGCAGCCACACAGGTTTCTCTGATGATCTACCCACCGTAGGAAAGGTCACGCAGACTTTTATAGTCACAACAGAATGACTTAAATGAAGGCTTGTTCCAAGTATATCGGTGGGGAAATCTGGAGAGTGCTAGGTTGCAGCCAAGTGAGGGATCTCTGCTATAGATCTCAAGTTGTATCTATGAGCATTTTAACATTTTATGATGATGGAAGAAAGTAGGTTAGTAAATCAGTCTATTCCAAAAGTTTTATGTCATAATAACAAAGATTTAAGGACAGAATCAGACACTGATAAGAAGTTACTTTTAAAAAAAAAATCTAATGATATCCCAAAATAATTTTGACTATTGGTCTTTAGTATGCCATGCCCTCCCCTCCCTGCACAGTCATAAAATTATAGCCAGTCAACTGTCTGCAAGGTTTTCAGCGTAAGTTGCATCTTTAGGAAAATTCCACTCACACACAGGCTGCTCCAAATGTTTAAAAATGTATTTAAAAGTCACAACAGTTCACAGCTCTTGCCCTGAATAGTTACGTACTGCTGCTTTGTTTCTTCACGTTTGTCTTTGAGGGTAAGTTATTATATCCTATCCGTTGTCAGGTCGGCTTTCACAGAGACTTCTTCATTCAGCCTTAGACTTCTTTCCACACACTGTCTCCAGGGTGCTTTGATTAAGCCAACTCCTAAGTAGACAGGAAACCCACGACAGAATCATGTCATTTTCTTCCTGGTGCAATGAAAAGTTCTAAACCGCAACACTAGCTACTGGGTTTACACGCAAGCGGATGACAGTTCACCTTCTACTTCCCCCACATCCAACCTGGTTTAAACAGGTTACTTCTGACCAGTCATTTAAAAAACAAAAAGGAAGAGAGGAATTCATGATCTAAATTGTTCCTGACATTTACATCATCTAGCTGTTGAATTGCTTGTTTTTTCTTTACACTTACCAGGATCGTGCCCAAAATCTGAATGAGAGGCGAACGACCACCACCACCCTCACGGTCGACGTTCTGGATGGAGACGACCTGGGACCCATGTTTCTGCCCTGCGTTCTTGTGCCAAACACTCGTGACTGCCGCCCTGTCACCTACCAAGCCACCATCCCTGAACTGAGGACTCCGGTAAGTACATTCTAGTCTTTTCTCCTCCATTCGCACCGTTAAGCCTGTCAGAATCCTGTCGGAATCCGTGGTAGACAGTGTGGTTGATAATAACAAAACTTGCTCACAAAGGACTGAAACAAATAGATTTGTATAACACTGCTTTCGTATAATATGTAGATAGTATCACAATGTGTAATTTTATCCTCTACAAAGTGGAAAGGATCTAAAGGATCCATGAACCCTCTGACACTGATTTAAAAAAAAAAAAAGTGTTTCCACCAATAAATTGTAAGAGTGTCCGGTTGTTAGCACATTTGAAAATGTTGGTGATTATGTTTTAAAGAAACTGAAAACCAAAGCATGAATAGACATTTTTCTACTCATAGTTCAGAATTTTAAAACATGCCCATAGAGCTACATAGTCCTGACATTTGAAAGTCATACTTTGGAACATCCCTGAGTGCCAGATACAGACGCTTAAGAGTTTAAGGCACTCCTGTTCATGAAAATGGCACTTGAGACTCAGAAGGACAAGTACTACACATTTCCTTTCAGGTACAGAAACTTCATGGATTTGTGGGTGGATGAACAGACAGACGGACATAAAGAGGGATGGATAGACAGACAGATGGTTGGATGGATGGATGGATGGATGGGAGAATGGGTGGGTGGGCGGTTGGATGGGTGGATATGCAGATAAGTTGACAGATGACTGATTAATTGATCGATGGATAGATTGATGTGTAATAGATGATATGATGACATATCAAAGCAGAAGAAGGGCTGTTTGAGAAAAGAGCACTGCAGGAAATGTGAGAAGAAATGTCAGCAGAAGACAGCAGGGAGTGAATGTGATCAAAGTTCATGATTTAGCATGAAAGTCTGATAAAGAAGTCCACCATTTTATATAACCCATGTACATTAATAAAAACTAAGAAAATAACTAATTGTAATGCAATCACATTAAATAGCATTTTTTCTCAGATGTGTCTGTGTACATGCACTTGTGTGTGTGTGTGTACACACCCCCATGTGTGAGCATGCATACATGTGTGTATTGTTTCACTGAATTCCTGGCAGTCATCTCCCTGAACTCCTCTGAGATTTGTCCAGCACTCTGGGTTCCTAAGATAATCCCCGATGTTATAATACGTTAGGGAAAAAAACTTTGACGTTTTTATCAGTACATGCGAATACAGAAGTTTTGGGTGTTTGGTACTTCTATGAGAATTTAGACACGAGAAGTATTGCTGTTGCGATGATGCATGTTATGTGAAGATAGAGTCTACTCATTCTGAGCTCAGGTGCATTGACGAGGTGTATGGCCACGTAGCAAATTTTTATTAGTTTTCAAAGGCAAAAGGCTAACTAGGCAGACTCGTGTAAACAAAATGAATGTAGACAACTTAATTTTGTGTCTTGTTCTTAAATATTTGAACTTCAGGAAGAAAAGTACTACGAGTGGGAAATAATGGGATTTTTTTGGTAAAGTTTAATGAGAATGATGAAAGCATTTTACTGTTACTTGTTTCTGGATTGGTTAATGCAGCTCCTGAGATACCAACGGGAAGGATTATTGGTATAGGAATAATTACGCACATCAGACTGGATGTGACGGCTATTCAATAGGACGTGGTGTTTTCAGGAAAGATTGAAGCTGCGGTGTAAGCAGCAGTGTACCCTGAGGTTTTATTAAGAGCTGGGGAACAATACTGACTGAGAATCTCATTCTTACACGGTTTGGAGGAGTCAGATAGATGATTACAGTGACTAACAGTAATAGCCAGCGTCTAGTTTGCAGAAGCTCTGAACAAATATTAACCGAGAAAATGTACTCATATCTCTTTCACAGAGGGCCCTATCATTATGCATATTTTGCAGATGAACCTTCTTAAGAGTTTATGTAATTTCCCATGGTACTATGAAGAAGTGAATGTGTGGAGAATATAAAAATTGTGTGATTGTGTTTGTGTGTGTATCTAAAAAGTGAAGGTACATGACCAGAACTAGAGCTGGTACTTCACACGAACATAGAGGAGTCTTGAATTTCCTGCTGTGGCGTGTGTGAGACTGGACAGTGAGTAGTGTTGCATGCTTAATGCGCCTTTGACTCTGCTTCACCTTCTCCTTCACACAATAATTTTCACTCACTGAATATGAGTACCCAAGAGAGATGTAATTTACCTTTAAAAGTTATTGTCTTTTCAAGTTGATAAATCTTTCCTTTTGCTCAGAATTTGCTATTATAGAACAAGAGAGCTGATATCTTAATCAAGAAATCTCTAACACATTAACTCTCTTGAAAGACAGTTTGAGTAGAAACGTTAGAAGGTTCTGGGCACAGCAGATGCTTTCTGGTATAGTAAGAACACAAAGACTTACATGAGCAAGCATCCTTTAGATAGCTTTTAAAACCATGCTTTATGAATCAATGCTACATTAAAATTATAGAATAATTGATCATTGTGTGTCATATTTTTATTTTTAATTTCTGTGAGTGCCTACACATCTGTGTCTGGTGCCTATAGTGATGAGAAGAGGGCCTTGGATCCCAAGGAACTGGAGTTACAGACCGTTGTAAGCCAAATGATATGGGTTCTGGGAACTGAATGCATTTCCTCCAAAGGAGTAGTAATTGCTCTTAACCTCTGAGCCATCATCTCTCCAGCCTCATACTTCATCATTCTCGGAGATTGATTCACTCCTTAATGCTCTCTGAAACACAGAGGAGATCACTTTTACATCCATAACTTTGTATATGGATAGTTAGTAGAGATTATTTGTATTGCCATCCAGGAAAAAATATGCACTATGTTTCCTTCTAAACTCAGTGCCTTCAAATGATAATCCTATAAGGTTTTCTAAAAGCCATAATCTTGTTTTATGAGACATGAAGAAGTGTCTCAGTTTTGCTGCCTGTTACACTGGAACCATGTTTAGGATGTATAACTCAGGTCGCCAGCAGGTTAATTCTGCTTGATGGCTAGTGCTTGCCCAAAGCAAGACAGTGAGTTGAAAAATGACCTTATTAGAGGCGTGGGCATAAACAATCTGTAAAGTAACTTTGACCTTTGCAGTGTCATTTCTGCCACAGTCAAACTTCTTCTTGGTTTAGCTGTAGACAAACATTGCTGGGGGGAGCATCCAAATTTCACTCTAAGAAGACCATAAGAGAAAGGTATTATGTATTCTTGCACATCATCATTTGAATCTACTCTAAAGCACCATGGGTCAAACTGGAGTCCCCTCCCCTCCCCCATCTTTAATCTTCCTTTACATGTCCCGGTAAAAATTTTGGGAAATTTCAATGAATAAGATCTTGCTATTCAGAAGGAGAAAAATCATTGATGTCAACTAAACTGCACGTATTGACTCTAATTACACACCGGCCAACACTTCCTCAAACTGATCCTTTGAATTCCAAAAGTCCCTTTATCTACTTACTCCCGTGTTGATGGAAAAATTTCCCACAGTTATCTCACTGATGTTCTTCATGCTACTATTCTGCACACGGAATTTATCGGCTTAAGAAAATCATTTGAATGTAGTTTTACAAGCATGCTTAGCCCATGAGCTAGGATATAAAAAAAATCAAAACCTGTGCTTTATATTAAATTTTGAATGAGACTATGTTCGGAGATAAACATGCTTTATGAACATAGAAAATGTTTTATGTAATTGAAAACTGTCTTCAACAAAATCAATGTCTGTACAGACACTGAATATGTTGTGTATATCTGGTATCATGACGATCCTAAAGACAGTGGTAATTCATTATCAATTTTATAAATATCTACTGAGCCCTAAAATATGTGAGGCTCTGTGAAAATTACGTAGTTGGGCCAAAAAAATATTTAGGAAAATCTTTACAATTTTTTTAAATAAATTTACTCTTACGTTATCATTCTCTTAAAATTGCTATTATGCCTGTAAAGTCTGCCTTCTATTATCATGAAAAAGATCTCTAAAACTGAGAATCTCAAATTCTTTTCTCGTTATTTGAATCCATTCTGAAGCTCGATGGGTCAAACTGGACTTTGCTCTTACATTCCACACTCGAATTTCTGCAATGTTATGTTTCAGTCTTTTGTATCCTAAATGAAGCATGGACCAAGATACAATGAAGTTTGGCTCATTTGTTCAGAACTGAGCAGTAGCACGCATTTGTTTTGTTGTTGTTGATCAGTAATGTTTTTGTTGAGTAGTTTACCCATAAGTAGATGCTCTGGGTCGCTAGGTTAGTACCTATTTTCCCGTGTACACATCTTTTTAGTTATTGTGCCACATACTTTTCAATATGTGAAAATTAACTGTTTTTAAGGAAAGAAAACCTTTTTTTTTTTTCTCCTCGTTTAAATCTTCAGACAGGTCCTCATAATGCCCAGCCACAAATGTCCCACTAAAATCTTTGTAAAAAAAAAAAAAAAAAAAGTCTAGTTCCCACAGAGCTGTCAAAACGAATTCCTTCAGTTTCTTTATGTTTTCTTCTTCGGGGCCGATATCAGAATGATGGGGTTTTCAGAGATCTCCAATATTTTAAATGCCTTCCCAGACCATACTCTATACAAAGATTCTACAGTTTGGGATCTCAGATCTGTGTCTTTTTTCTGTCCACTTTTTCTTTTCTTTCTCTCAAGGGCTTTGAGTTCATCACCTTAAATATTTGATGGGCTTTATTCATTTCGGGAAAACTTGTTATATTTTTTTCTTATTCTTAAATGTAAAGACATCTAGATTTCTCTGGGTTTTTTAAAAGCATGTTTTTTGCCTTAGTATGGTTTTTAGAAAGACTAAATTAAGGAATACCACGACAGTAAGTTCTGTTTTACTTTAGTCTATCACTACATCTCTGACTCCAGTTCTTGCCTAAGTTTCAGGCTTGGATTTACCACTGTTCTGTAGTTATTGCCCGTCACTCACAGATACCTTACTGATATTTGGCTGTTTAAAGCGTTAAAAAGCTCTAATGTTTGGCACTGTATACACAAAGTATATTCACCAAGTAAGTCACAAAGCGT